AGGAAAATTGATTTTTTGCAGACTTTGTTTAGCGTTGCAATCCAGAATGAGTTCTGGAACTTTTTACATTTCTACTCTCACAGAAATCCAGAATAGATTTCTTTAAAATCTTTAGCAACAATTAACATGATTCTGGTTTTCAGAGGTTCTCACTGCCAGAATGCATAATTGTAATTATTCTTTACCTCAACATGCTAAGATTTCATTCTTCCATCTATCCAGCCCAAAATTAGATGTACCAATACCTTTAAATTCATTTAGGAAGCATGAAGGAAGAATAATTTCCCAAGTTTCTGAGCTGCCTCTTGGCTTTTTAAAATAAAAAAAAATTGTTCGGATAAATTACAGTCATTATCTGAGTCAGCTCCACTGAATCTGGTAAAATGTATATCCACAGTATGCTGACAGAAATAGAATATATTATTATTAATAGTAATATTTTTTTCTATGAAATTCTTGACCACCTTTTGGGGTGTCAAAGCAGCTTATTCTACAAATTTAAAACCTAAGTCCAATAAAAAAGAAAGCACAGTAAAATTACATTTGTCTTTAAATTCAGAGAAAGGAAATTGATAACTTTTCAAAGTTCCTAAGAGCCCTTCTCCAAGATGTCGCTTGATTAACCAATTTAAAAAGAAACTTGTGCCTGAGAAAATTCGGTAAACTGAGCCATAATGTATGAACTTTCATCATTCATCTGCAACACCTATTTGTGGGAGAAGAAAAGAAGATGCATTTTCCTTTTTCTACCTAACATCAGCCAACCCTTTTTCATTCATTTAAAAACATAATTGAGTACCGGTAGCATTTACTGAATCCCAAGATCTGTTCCTATTATGTCATGTAAAATATTTTAAATGAAGAATTGACAAAGTATTTTAAATCAGTTTCTAATGGCAAAAGGGAGCAATACAATAGTGGGTTCCACTTACCTTCGCTACCGGTTCGGCATCGGGAGCGCTCGCACATGCGAGCTTGCTTTGCTCATGCATGTGCAACACACTTCTGCACATGCTCAGAACCTTCTGCGCATGCGCAGAACATCCATAATGACGTCTAGGCAGGTAGGTAGAGCCTCCCACCACCGCTACTACCGGTTCGCCCATCACTGGAGCAATATCTTGATCTAAATTTCAAGGACTTTCAAGGATTTTCACCTTAAACATTCTACTAATAGACAAAATTATAGGAAATCAAATAGAACATGATAATTTCTTTTTAAAAAGTAGCATCTGACACTGATAGCATACAAATTTGATAAACTGAATCTAAGATTAGATTGGACACCAATTTAATTAATAATTTGTAGTTTACTTAATAAAAGGTTACATAAACACTTTTTAAAATTATGCCTAATAAAATTAAAATCTGCCAAGTTGGCATTCTGTAAAGTTAACTTCAAGCAGTAACATAAAAAATGAAAAAAGCTTATTTTTAAGATCAAATTTATAGTACACTAGACTTCAATAATAGAACATTATTATTAATGACAGATGATGTAATACAAATATTGGAAGCAAGAATTGTCAATTATTTGTAATCCAATTCTGTATATCTGTAGGGTGCTAAAAATTCTACATCTTATCATATTACAGTAAAAAAAAAGGCTGTTATAAATTAGAAGAGTAATGCAGATTTGTTCTAGCTTAGCCAGAACTTTCATACTAAACCAATGGAATAAAAACACTGCAGAATCCTGCTTGCCCCACTTTGAAATGCATGTATTGAAAAATAAGTTGGTGAGCAAAAATAATAAAAATGGCAGATTAAATTTCAATATATTTTGACTTCAATATATTTTGACAGGGCTGATGATCAGTAGCAAAATTGCTGGCTGGTATAATGTCTACTGTACATTGGTGTGCCAGCTTCAGCTTCATGAAGTACAAGTGAACAAAGCTAAAGACTGATAAATCAAAAATGCCTAGGCTTCTTTGAACTCAGTTCTTGCAACCATAACAAAATACTAAGAAAGGTATAATGAAGTCCATCCAATGAAACAGATCATCAAATCATCTTAGCCAGAACACAACAATTTATGCGCATAGAAAGTTCCATGTTCAGACCAGGTCTTTCTATCACCTGAAAACATAAGACAATACCTGTCCACTCTAGTCAAGTTCAAATCACTGGGATCTGACAGATTACATCCCAGAGTTCTGAAGGAGATGCCAGATGTGACCTCGGAAACACTGAATCATATGTTTCAAAGATCCTAGAGCACTGGGGAACTACAAGAGGACAGGAAAAGAGCTGATGTGATTCCCATCTTCGAAAAATCAGGGAAGAAAATCAGATCCAGGAAACTACAGATCAATCAGCCTGACATTGATACCTGGGAACCTGGAAAAGATAATCAAGCAGCTATGAACACCTAGAACCAAGCAAAATTATAACCAGAAGCGAATACAGGCTTGTCAAAAAAGAGATCATACCAAACAAATCTTATTTCATTCTTTGACAAAGTGACTAAATTAGTGGACCAGGGAAATACTATGGACATAGTATATTTGGATTTCAGCAAGGCATTTGACAAAGTAGACCACTTCATGGTAAACTAGAAAAATGTGGGCTAGACAGTATCAACACCAGATGGATTCATAACTAACTGACAAATTGCATTCAATGTGTAGTCCTTAATGGAACTACATCTACATAGAGGGAAGTAAGCAGTGGGTACCACAACGTTCTGTTTAGGGCAGTACTTTTCAGCATCTTCATAAACAATTTATATGAGGTAATAGAAGGAGAACTATTCACATTTGCAGATGACACTAAACTGGCAAGAATACCCAATACCCCAGAATATAAGCCCAAGATCCAGATGGATCTCTACAGACTTGACCATTAGGCCCTGTCTAACAAAATGAAATTAAATGTAGACCAAAGTAGGGTCTACACAGGCAAAAAAACCCAAATGCAAAGGTACAGATTAGCTGAAACCTGATTTGATAGCAGTATATATGAGAGGGATCTTGAAGTCCTAGTGGACAATCATTTAAATATGAGCCAGCAATGTGTGGCAGCAGCCAAAAAAACCAAAGCAATCCTAGGCTGCATTAACAGAGGGATAGAATCAGGATCAGGTGAATGTGAAATATTAATATCACATTATAAAGAGTTAGTAAGACTACATTTAGAATACTGCATCCAGTTTTGGTCAACATATTATAAAAAGGATGTTTAGACTCTGGAAAGAGTGCAGAAAAGAGCAACCAAGATGATTAGGAGGCTAAAATAAATGAAGAATGATCGCATGAATTGATAGTTTAGTGAAAAGGACTAGTTGTGGCATGATAGCAGCATTCCAATATTTGAATGGCTACCAGAAAGAAGAGGGTGTCAACCTATTTTCCAAAGCATCAGAAGGCAAGACAAGAAGAAATGAATGGAAACTAATCAAGGAGAAGAAGCAACTTGGAATTAAGGAGAAACTTCCTAACTGTGAGGACAATTAACCAGTGGAAGAACTTGCCTTCAGAAATTGTGGGTGCTCCATCACAGTAGGTTTTTAAGAAAGTGGAAAGCCACTTATCTGTAATGGTATAGGGTTCCTACTTGAGCAGAAGGTTAGGCTGGAAGACCTCTAAGTTCCCTTCCAACTGTGCTCTTCTGTTATCTTGCAAAGCACATTAATAATCAATTTGCCTATCTTAATGTCCTCCAGGTATGTTTTCTGTACTATAATATTGTGATGAGATTTGTACTGCAATATATATGATAGTAACAGACTTGGAAAAACTAAGGAAATAATAATGGGCTAGGCAGAAACATTTGCTGGAGTCACCTACTGGCTATTATCATTGCCTTAGAGACCCTCCACTTCATTTTGCTGCCATCTTTTATTTTTTATTGATTTTATTGTAATTTCTTTGATTATTGCGAGTCACCCAGAATCACTGTGTTGGGTGGCATTACGGTAACTGGTTTATTGATTAATCCAGAGAGTTCACACAGCAGACACTAACTACACCATTAACCCTGATTTACAAAATAGAATAGTTTCTCTGGATTCAGAGAAAACATCAAGCCCAAACTAGGTTGAAATCTACATTACACTACAGCTTCATGCTTTCACTTATCTGGTCTAAGGCAACTTTTGATGTTCCTCATTTTAAAAACCTCTTCCTTAACTGGACGACAGGTAGAACACACGGCATGGCTGATAGGTAAACGTTTCTTCCAGTTGGTTTATTATCTAATTACTACCAATTGCTTATTATCTTTTATTCTTGCAGGCACAGGAAATGTTGAGGAGCTCTATTCAATACAAACAGGAGCGTCTATATTAGTGAGCGTTCACAACAATATCCCAAAGGTGCTTTTTCAAGATGCAACTGGACTTTCTGGTTTTTCTTTGAAGATGTTCCACTTCTCATTCAAGAAGCTTCTTAAACTTTGAGCGCAAATGGTTCCTGTAATCTGCAAATTTTCTGGAAATCCGTTCATGCTCACGCACCATTGGGGGGGTGTTCATCCCAAAGTGCATCGCTAAATGTCTATGGAGATTCTCAATCATCCAAGTCATGGATGTCCCAAAGGTGATTTTTCAAGAGGCAACTGAACTTTCTGGTTTTTCTTTGAAGAAGAAGAAGAAGCTTCTTGGATGAGAAGCAAAATGTCTTCGAAGAAAAAGCAGGAAGTCCATTTGCCTCTTGAAAACGCACCTTTGGGACAACCATGACCTGGATGACTGAGAATCTCCATAGACGTCTGCAAAGCAAACCATCCAGATGTGGATGGATGGATGGATGGATGGATGGATGGAAGGAAGGAAGGAAGGAAGGAAGGAAGGAAGGAAGGAAGGAAGGAAGGAAGAGAAATGTTGGGACAAGAGTTATCACCAGGGAAGCATATACAAATCTGGTCCCTATCTGGCACTCCAAAGCGCCTCTCATTCTATCCGCTCTTTCTCCACCCTCCCCACTAAACCGCCGCGGCGACAACTATTGCGCAGGCGCCCGAGGGCCCTCGGTCACGTGGCAGGAACCGGGGATGAGGGGCGGAGCTGAAGCTTCGTAGCGTCGCTCGGCGTCCATGGCAGCGTTTTCAGTCGCCGGAAAGATGAGCACTTCCGCCTTCTCGTCTTCCTTCCGTCGAGGAACCGGCGGGGCTTAGGCCGCGCTCTGCCAGGCCAGGCTTTAGATTGGGTGCCATGCGGCGGCTCTGGCCGCCGCCGCCGCCACCACTGACGCTTTTGCTGGCGCTGCTTTGGGCGGCCGCGCTGTGCGGAGGAGGAGCGGCGCCTTCCCCGCTTCCCACCACGAAACTCCCTTCCGCGTTGCCGGATCCCCCTCTGCCAGCGCTAGGAGTTGGCCCCGACAATGCGCCCTCGGGCCCGCGGAGCGGCGGCTCTTCTGTCGGCGAGGAAGCGCGGAGCGGCGTCGGCGGCGTGAACGTGAACGGCAGCATGGCCGCCGCGCCCCCCCGCTCGGAGGTCAACCAGCCCATGACCCAGCGCGCCCTTTCGGTGCTGGTCCTGGCCAGCGCTGCCCTCATCGTTTACTTCGTCATCCGGACCGTCCGGTGAGCGACGCCTCAGCCTTTTCTTCTCGCTCTGTCCCGGGAAGGGCTTGACGGCGCCCCCCCCCCCCCCCCGGCTGCCTTCCCCGCCTTTAGCCCTCCGACCGCGGCTTGTGCTTGGACCTGAACGTAACTAAGGCTGAGTTTTTCGGGGAGAGAGCGGAGTAATTTGCTTCGGGTCGGCCCTTCTTCCACTTCCTGCCCTTGTTAGTCTCCCCGGGGCTTAACGTTCATTTCTTGGGCTCCGGTAAACTTGAGGAATCGTTTAAGAATCGTTTTTTTTTTTTTTTTTAAATCTCCTACCCTGTTTTTGTTGGGTTGGTTTACTGTGGAGTGTTTTTTGCCATATATCTGAGTGTGGGGAGGGTTAATTTTGTGGCTCACTTAACGATTGTTTTGAAGGCCTAATTTGGGTTTGACATTCCTCCACCACCCTAGAACAGGCCACCCGAATACAGTCACAGAATACAGAAGAGCTGGAAGGGACCTTGGAGGTCTTCTAGTCCAACCCCCCCTGCTCAGGCAGGAAACCCAGTACCGTTTCAGACAAATAGTTGTGTCCAATCTCTTCTTAAAAAACAATTAAAAAGGGAAATGGACCAGTGGATGTCTAATGCTTCTTGTTCTCACACTGGAAAAGATTGGTGGGGCTTAAAACAAAGTTCAAGCAAGGAGAAGGTGGCTTCAAATCAATATTCTGTAAGACTGGCAGGTGATAGATAATGTGTAGAATAACCAAAGTCAGGGTTAGAATTCCTGTGGAGATATAAAAGAAACGGGCTTTTTCTACTTTATATGTCTTGTGATACAGTGACTGCGCGGTACAAATTCTCATGGATTACATGGACATACATCGTGATAAATGCAGACAGAAAAATAGTGATACAAACATATACTTATGGGTGTAAAGGGTATTGTATCTTGTTTGCTCCTTTAGGTTTGTTTCCCCCCCCCCCTCTCTCTCAGCATCTCTGCAATGCTTACAGAAGCACTGATAGCACCTGAGGCCTGAGATGTAGTTAAAATGATGAAATTCAGGGTGTGGGGAAATCCTGACAGATGAAGTCTGGAATGCTTACATAATTTTGGAAAGAGAATTTGAAATGAATAGCTTTAGAATCATAACAAAATACCGGTAGTCCTTGGCTTATGACCATAATTGAGTCCCAAGTTTCCATTGCTAAACAAGACAGTTGTTAAATGGGTTTTGGCTCATTTTACAACCTTTCTTGCCATAGTTAAGTGAATCACTGAGTTAACTTTGTTACACAGTTAAGTGAATGTATCTAACCAGTTGACTTTGCTTGTCAAAAGGTCACCAAAGGTAATCACATGACACTGGGACACTGCAACCATCATAAATGCATACCAGTTGCCAAACACCCAAATTTTGATCTTGTGACCATGGGGATGCTGCAACAGTTGTGAGTGAAAACGGTCATAAGTCATTTTTCCCAGTGCTGTTGTAACTTCAAACAACCAGTAAACGAATGGTTGTAACTCAAGGACTCTCTGTATAGCATTAAAAGATAGACTTTAGAGATTTTAAGGAAGAGTAAAAGAAAAAATGGTTGGCATACATTTGTTAAGTCTGGTGCTCTACTGAAAGGCCTAGTTTCAAGTGGTTTCCAGCTGCATAAAACAAGGCTTTTGAAAGCTTAAAAATCCTCAAAGGATAAAAGAATGTTCAGCAAGTCATGTGAATTTCATTTGGTGTTAATTGGAAGCTAAAGATGTAGATAAATAAATGGAAGGATGGATCATAATAAAATGCTTCTAGAGTAAGATTCCTTATTCCTTTTGCATAGATACAAGTGGACTTTTAAAGTGTTGACCCTAACTCTTAAGAGATTCTTTTGAATTTCTTCCTTTTCATGGTGTGTACAAGAGATTAGATGGGAAAATCAGCTCTCACTAGACATACACCATAGATATTATATTGAATCATACATGAAAGAAGCAGAATATACTTTGGTAAGGTCTCTATCCTAAATAGCAGTTTACGTTACATTTTTAAAAAATTATCAAATGTAATTTTAGAAGAAATTTGTAAATATTTGTTTTAAATTGGTATGCTATATTTCAGTATTTTCTGTATAATGAGCTGTGTAGTACCGTACAAATCCTTAATTCAAATGTTCTTCATATAAGTGGAGCTCCTTCAGTATTTATTTACATGAAGCATAGATTTACTAGAATATCAGAAATCTGATAGCACCTTTTCTGACCAGGCATAAGCTTTTAGAGGCTACAGTTCACTTCATCAGATACAACTCTTTTAAGTTTCATAAATGCTGCAATAAGGTGCAATCCTGGTTTTGGTTCTTTCAAACTTCTAAATGGCGCACATGAATTGAACTGTAGGTTTTCCCCCCTACAATTTATTTTATTTATAAAGCCACATATGAATAACTATTTTCTGAAGTGTTGGACAGTATCAGAAATATTTGCCACCCATGTCACTACCAAGAATGACTCTAACAGTTCTTTTTAATGCATGCAACATACATACATACATACATATGTACATACTTATATGGCCACCCATCTCGTAAGAATGTGACTCTAGACAGTACACAATAATTAAAAATCCAATAATATATAAAAACTTCATCACTAAAAACTATTAAAAATTATTAAAACTGCAAGTAGGGAGGATGATGTTGACTGCAGTAAGAGAGCCATTGCAAGAACTCCCCAGTCTCTTGTGTACTGTAAAGCTCTCAAAGTTGAATCCATTATTATGCAGGCAAATTGAAGTTTGTGCATGGGATTTCATTTTCTTGTTCAACATCATTGCAGCCCTTTCTCAGAATCACTGACACCATTGTAATTAAAGGCCAACAAGCCAGTATAAACAACATCTTCTGAGAGTGATTTTGGACAAATAAAGTGCAATGAAACATTCAGTGAGTATAACTATTGCTTTAACCCCAAGTTCATGCTGTAAAACCGCGATTGACTCACTGTTTATCTTGCATAATCACCTTCCCTGCCTTTTTTAAATTCTACAATATTTATAATTTATTCAAATACACCTTATTTTCCTGAATAATATAATTTACATGAGAGACACAAGTAATACTGCAATACTTGAATGAAGAAGTGGGACACATACTGAAAACGATATCACAAATTTACTATGGTCATGATACAAGAAACACAAGGGATTAAATAAGACATTAAAGTTAGAGAAGGTGGCAATAAATATATATTATTTTATATGCGCACAAACACAGAAACACACATCATCCTCATAATCACATATATAATGATTGTAAGCCACCCAGAGTTACCCTGTGGTAAGGTGAGCGGACAATAAATTTTACAAATAGTCTCCCGGTGACTCTGTTCCATGTAAAATTCCCATTTTACATATTGTTATTACTAATGGAGTTTTTAAAAAATATTATTTTGATATGTCAGCAAATGGCCTCGTAATGAAAGAACAATTTGAACTAGCTCATTGGTTATCATGATCACTAAAAGTAATTGAATAGCATAGCCTGTACAGTACACATACAGTTACAGGTTACAGCTAAATGTAAAATGTTAGTTTGTATAGAATATTGAATTAGCTTAGAAAAACCATTTGTAGAAGGAAAGAATAAAGTTTCTTAGAGCTGCTGAGAGGCAGAAACCAAGAGGGCCTTAAGTAATATATCTTTGTATATTCTGTTTCATTGGTAAGAAATAAAGAACGGTTATTTTAGAAAACAGGATTATTACTACTGTTTGCTTAATTTCTTCAACACAAAATTCAGAGCTGCAATGAATAAATCAGTACAAAGATAAAGTTCAGAATTCAGTATTCCACAAAAGTTTTTCTTATTTTCAGATGTCCGTAAGCTTCAAGTCGTGACATTTTAGTTTGGCATTCTGATAGCCTGTATAAACTACAGAGAGAGGTTTATATAAATAGGCCAAATACATCTTAATTGGATTGTAAGCATTTCCCCTTCGTATTTAATACTTTTGAAGTAAAATAAGAAGCAAAAGCAGTTAAAAATGAAAATTGAAGTGAATATAACTGGTGAGAGGAGAGGGTCATTAAAACTCAGTGTGTAGATACAGTCTTTGGTTGTCCACTCCACCTCCCTTAAAAAAAAAACAAACTCAGTGTCTAGGGTGCTTGATACTTTATAAACTCATCTGTATATTCTTTTATCTCTCTACAATTTCTTTATGCTCTACATTGTAGAAATATATTTAAAGTTTAATTAGTTTAATATTTTTGTATTTGCATGGGACAAATACTAAAATTCGGGAAGGGGTGGAGATATATTTCATTGTTGACTAACTTAGAATACAAACTTTATTTAAATATATATTGACTCATTTATATGGTTCAGATGTTTCATTTTTATTTTGTACGCTGAAAGCTCAAATCTAATTCTGCTCATATTAGTCTTCCTCAGCCCTAATTAACACATTGTAACATTTGTATTAGACTTAGACGAAGAAACAGGAAGACACGGAAATACGGTGTTCTGGACACAAACATAGAAAACACAGAGCTGACACCTTTAGAGCAAGACGATGATGATGATGATAACACATTGTTTGATGCTAATCATCCTCGAAGGTTAGTACCTTTATTTCAGGAAGCAATATTCTTGGTAGTAATCTTACTATAATATTGGCACAGGTAACTGAATAAACAGACTAGTATTTTAAACTTTAAGAGAGTTGACTTCAATAAACTATGAGAAAAATTAGGGAGGACTCCATGAATGGAAATCCTAGAAAGAAAAACAGGATTCTTGAGAAACTCTGAAAACAAGATAATAAAGGCTCAAACAAAAACAGTACCACAGAAAAAGAAATGATTCCAGATGAAACCAGCATGATTGCACAAAGAGCTTTCCAATAAACTGAGGACTATTTATTTATTGTTTATTTATTGGTTCGATTTATATGCCGCCCTTTTCTGGAGACTCAGGGCGGCTTACAATGCGTTAAGCAATAGCCTTCATACTTTTGTATATACCTGCTTAGTAGGGCTTTTGCTCCCCCCCCCCTCCAGTGGTGTTCTTTTTATACAAAGTCAGCTTATTGCCCCCACAAACCGGGTCCTCATTTTACCTATCTCGAAAGGATGGAAGGCTGAGTCAACCTTGAGCCTGGTGAGATTTGAACTTGCAGTAATTGCAGGCAGCTGGTGACTGGAAGGGACTAGAAAGGAAAGTATAAAAAATAGAAAGTGGTACGTAACTAGAACAGAATTCCAGCAAATAGCTCGAATCTGCAAGGACGGAGTCAAGAAAGGCCATGGCTCAGAACGAACTAAGGCATGCAACAAATGCCAAAAATACCTCTCAAAAATTTTCAATATGTAAGGCACAAGAAGAAAGTCAAAGAAATGACCAGACCACTAACGGAAGATGGTGGCAAGAAGATGATAAATAGCAGGGAAAAAGCAAAACTGCATAATTCGGTCTTTGCATCTGTCTTTACATAAAAAGAAAAAAGTAGCCCAACCTATCAAAGTCAGCACTATGGGAAACAGAATAGGAATGCAGATCAAACTAGGTATGGAATTGGTAAGAGAACACTGATTTGCTTTGGACGAGTTCAAATCACCGGGACCAATTGGTTTACATCCCAGGATTCTGAAGAAGCTGGCAAATTCATTTGGAATCACTGAATGAAATTTTTCAGAGCTCCTGGATCACAGGGGGGAACTGCCAGAGGACTGGAAAAGAGCTGATGTGGTTCCAAAAGTTCAAAAAGGGAGAAAAAATTGATCCAGGAAACTACCAATCAGCCTGACAACAATAACTGGGAAAATCTTGGAAAACCAGGGAATTTCTGAGCATCTAGAAATGAATAAGGTGATCACTAAAAGCCAAATGGATTTGTTAAAAGTGGTTAAAAACAGCAGTGGCTTGGGATAGCAAAATGGGCAGCATATACATTTAATAAATTTACTAAATAAATCTAACCTACAGATCTCATGAATCCAGGTTTTCAAGGATTTATGAAACAGTGAGCAGGATTGGGTCCAAATGAATCTCTGGCTACGATGTTCTATGGGGTAAATGTTATGGCAATATATTATAATACATTGGATAATATGAGATCCTACTTTTGTGAATATTGAATTTAAAAATATGTAACTATATTAATTTGGGTGAGCAGGTTTTGCTTATTTTATTTTTTTCTTTTTCTTTATAGATAAGTATGTGCCTTGTGGGAAAATATTTCAATTGTGGAGCAACAAAAGAAGGCTGGAAGGAACGTGAAGTCAATATCAGAGTTGAGGATATGAAATGTATTATGACATCCTTAGTTTGTTGCAATAAATACTAATATTTTACTGTACCTTTTGTATATACAGAAATACTGTAAGGTCAAAGCCTATGGAAATAGCTCACTAAATTTCTAATCTATTTTCAACAGGGTATTTTCTGCTTATATTAATTTGTGATCTTTTTTTAAAAAAATTCTTTTGTGGGCCAACTTTTTTTTATGTAAACTGTGGTAATTTATTTGTTTGAATTCCTTGCAGCTAGCCAAATCTAACCATGTGTCAGAAGGATGTATGTTCTTAGTAAATTAGATGTATACTGAAGCTCTGTATGAATGATGTAAATAAATGTTTACAGTATTCCTAACATTCATTCCTTGTTCTTTGAATCTGTTGGTATTAGATGATATGATTTGGATGGAAGAAAAATTGCTTGCAATAATCGAACTAATCTATTAGCTGAGTTTGGAACCACTTTTTTCAGCAAGTATAAATTAGTGGAATTTTTATTTATACTCTACCTAATTTCCATAAGCTAATTAGAGAAGGACTTCTTGATACTCTTTTATTGTAAGATGTGCAGAATTGCTAAGACATCTATCAGCATTTTTCTATGTGCAAGCTTTCATGGAAGCTGTTAAAGAAAAGTCCACCATTATAATAACTGGAGATATATCAAATAATTTTATATAATAGACCCATACAATGTAACTGAATTTCTCATGTGCTGATGGGTCCTCTTGTTATATGAAATGTATGGGAATCTAATTATTCATAAATGAAACAGACTATTCAAAGTTTTTTTACACACAGATACACACTCAGCTATTCCTTGTTTAGTGGCTACCTCATTTAGTGACCCTCTGCAAATGCCAAGGTAATTTTTTTAAAAAATCATTTTCCAACCAATGTGCAGAGTTTTAACCAAATTTCTGCATCTGACAATAGTGCATACCAGAGTAACAATAAAAGTGGCTTTGTTGCACAAGAGAATTTTATCCAAATGAAAGAGCAACAGCCTTGATCTTTCGCTTCTGATCTAGGGAACAGATTATCACTAACGAGAGGGTGTATATACAATATTCATAATATTTAATTCTTAAAAGTGCGGTATAACATACACTTCCTTTCCCACTTTCATTAACAGTAAAATTCATCTCTTTGAAAATAAGATTGATAAATTGAAGATTCTTGGTTCTTAGGAGAATTAGGAAAATAATATTACTACTATGCTACTTTTGATTTAGAAGAAATATATATTTCAACTTATTTTGCCCATTATTCATAATCCACTGAAACTCCTATATTTCAATTTAGGAGCAAATTTAGCAATTTAGAAGAATTTTTGTCCAAAGAATGAATCATTTCAGTTCTGTAATGTTAAACATTTCTTGAATTGAAACTTTACTGGAATATCCACATTTGCTAGATATACAAATAAATTATGAAAATTGCCTATAGTGAAATTAGTGCTCTTTACTGCAGGAATTCATATAAGTCTGATAGATTGCAAAACTTTTTTTAAAAAAAAGATGGAAATTTTGCAATATGTTAAGAGCCGAGGTGGCACAGTGGTTAGAGTGCAGTACTGCAGGCTACTTCAGCTGACTGCTAGCTGCAGTTCAGCTGTTCAAATCTCACCGGCTCAAGGTTGACTCAGCTTTCCATCCTTCTGAGGTGGGTAAAATGAGGACACAGATTGTTGGGGGCAATACCCTGACTCTAAACCACTTAGAGAGGGCTGTAAAACTATGAAGTGATATATAAATCTTAAGTGCTATTGCTTTTAATATCAGTTATTCAGATGTTCGTTAATGTTTTTGGCTTTCTTCAACTGCAGGAGAGTATAGTTCCAAACTTTAGTAGTCATAATACACTAAGTATAATGTTTTTAGGTTCTAATTCATCATATTATTGATGAAACTTGGAATATTTTATATTTCAGAAAATGATCCAGATAGAAGTTTAAGTTAAAATTTAATTTATTCAAAATGTACAAATTTATGTATATGATTCATACATATTACCAAATTCATACATATTAACAAAGGTGTGTAATAATTTAGAAATAAAGGCAAGTGAAATATCAATTCACTTAAAGAAAATTAGTGTGTTATTCCCAAATGTCTGTTATATTAGAGAATACAAATAAAAGCCAACTTTTAATCTCTTTTTACATGGAGTAAAATTGTTGGCTGGCATATATCAACAAGTCAAAGGAATGCAGCCTCAATCATCTTTGCTACTTTGAAGTTTGCAATAAGGGGCTTTGATATTCAGTATTAAGCAGTCTTGGAGAAATTTCAGAAGTTCTTAACAACAGGTATAAAAACATGATTTAGGGCAGAAAAACAAGGAAAGTATTAGGTAAGTATTCAGAATGTCTATTCCATGATTCACTGGGATATAAAAGAGGAAAGGTAAAACATAGGCTTGCAGAATTCTAATAACTTATCTTGATAGAGTCTTACATTACCATATTGGTCATTCCTAAAGATTCTGGAATCTTACCCAGTAAGGTATTATTCAGTTCTGCCTGTCTTGACAGTCTACTTTGGTTATTTCCCTTTCTTTGTATTTTAAAATATTTTTAATTGGATCCTTGTGTTCAAATTACTGGATTTTGTCATGCATTTACTTCCCATACTCCTCATTCACTTTTTGTCTATATTTTTTTTCAAGTTGTACCTTTTCTTGTAAACCACTCAAGAGTTTTATTTCACTGCATTTCTGTAGTGCCTCCTAAATCATTTCCAGCTTCCTATATTAAGAGATCTAGTTCTTTCCATTTGTTTCCCGTCATCCGTGCATTTCTATATAGGTGCTGAAAATATATATTCTGTTACTCATATGCTCGTTACTGGTTATCTCCATATTCTGTGTATCATCTCCTGCCATCTTTGTAGTACTTGGAGTGACTTTTCTGGAGGCTTTTCCCCCTGTTTAAAGCTTTCTGCATTAGGTTTGCAAGGTGTCTTCCAAACATACTATTCCCACCTCATGTGGCCAATTTCTTGCCAGGAATTTCTCATCACAAATATGTCTCATAAACCGAGAATCCAAATTCTTCCCATGGGTACCATCTGTGTATCCATTTGTTTGCTTCCAGTATTCCTCTCTCAGTTCATGAGCTTCAGGGAATAAAGAGAATGCCACTTGTACTCCCAGCTCCTTCCCCCTTTTGCTCAAAGCTTCATTGTAACTTGTAATGTTTTTAACACAATGTCTGTCATTTATTTCCATGCGGATCCATAAAAAGGAATGTTTGTCAGTGATCTTAAAAGGTCTTAAGAGCTTTTCTGTCACACAAATGTGAATCCTTGGAAGGTAGCATATTTCTCTTAAACAGACTATCTTGTTCACAGATTGCTGTTTTGGTCCTTGTCAATATCCTGTCCATCATCACAACTGCCTGTAGTTTACAGCCTCTAAGGCAAGTGATCCTTTACTTACACAACCTCTAGAATTCTATTCTTCAGTCCTTGAGGCTGGTGGCAGCTGTTATCTTTCTAAAAAAACATATCTGCAGAGGTTTTGGAATCTATTCTGAAGAGCCAAAGAAAAAGTGTTCTTAAAAAGTATCATCCATTATGTCATATCCAACCATTTGCCTAGCTTTCTTTTATTTGCAAAATGGCCTCTTTGTATATTGTCCTTCCTATGAAGGATCCAAGAAAGGCACCAGGCTAGAAAGCAGGACACCATGAGTTCAAGTCTCATGTTAGCCATGAATGCCAGCTGAGTGACTGAGCCAGTCACTCTGTTTCAGCCCAACTCACCTCACGTTGTTGGGAAAAATAGGAGGAGGAGGTGTGTTGGATATGTTCTCTGTCATGAGTTATTTGTAAAAATAAGGCACGATACAAACAAAATCCTTATGAGTTTAACTGGAATGTGGACATCATAGCTCCGTAACCTTCTCTTCCCAGAGGGTCAACAGCCTGCACTTGTAGCATGTATGTCCTATAGTAGCAATTCTTCCACTTCCATCTTAGAAGAGCTGGGCTGGGGGATAAGCAGTTTCTTCACTTCCCTGCTTGCTGTCCTTGCTTGTTCATTCCGTGAATTTTGAGTATTATCTTTTTCCAGGAAGAAGGGCAAATTCCTAAAGAAAGCATTGAGTTTTGGTCTACAGAAGGAACTTCTGTTTAAAGGGGGCACAAGATATGTTGTGTAAGTGAAGTTCCCTTCAAAATGTTAAGTGATTATTTGCAAAGCATGTTGGGACCATAAGTGAACCAAGTGTGCTTTCACATCTGCAAAGCAGCTGTGCCATAATTTCCATATATAGTTTCATTAACATTTTGTAGACAAGTCTGTCATTCATGCTCAAGTGCTTGGGAAAGCACCCTTTTCAATCTTTTTCACTGTCCTACTCTAAGAATGCCTCTATAAGGATTAAAAATCCTTAAAGATACTTAAAGACACTGCTCTGCATGCTGGCAGCTTTCTGTTTAATTATATATTTTTTATTTAAATTGTAAAATGGGACAGTGAGGCTAAGAAAAGTTTTGAATCCACACAGTAGAATATTTTAATTAAGTCTTTCCATTTTGGAGCTCCCAAAAGTTTACTTGCTATCAGAGGTTCTAAACAAATCCACTGTCCCCCGTCCCCCCCCCGCCCACCTGTTTGTGGCATAACCTGTCAAAATAGTGGTGATCATAAAGAAATTGTTCTCTCTGTTCTCATCTTCCTGCTTTTATTTAATTTGCAGAATGGCTTCTGTTCCCTTTAACTAGATTAATAGCCATTTTTGAAAGGCAGTTGACACAGTAAAAGAAAAAAAACAAGTTAAAAAACTTGTACAATAACCTATATGAATGTCGTAAAATAATTTTGAGGTTCAAAATATACCCTTTTTAATAATAGAGTGGCTGACATGCTATATAATATTATTTTCCAAGTACTTTTTATTTTTCATTGTGGTATCATTTGATAGCAAGAGTTAGGAGTAAGAGAAGCTTGTTACTGATTCCTGCAAAAATCTTGAAATATCAAAAATCTTGAAAAATCTTGAAAAAAATCAAGAAATCTTGAACAATCTGTCTTAAACAAATGAACAATCTTCAACTTAACATAGTATTTTCTCCTATGATTGTGGTCAAAGATGAACACAACACATTGTCAAAGACTGACTACCCTGTTGGTAGAGTTTCAGTCTAGGAATACCAGGGAGACAAAACTAATATGAGCTTATGTTACCAGAGTTTTGAAACAGTAACACTATGTAATATTTAACAGGAACATGGATATTATGAAATCTGCAAAGTATTTTGCATAATATTTGAGCCATCCATTGAAGAGGTCCTTTTAGGTCAGACTAATTTCCACTAGTGCTTTTTGAGAGATTTAATTCTTCCTATATTGC